GAAGAAAAATAGAACAAAGAGAAAGAAACAATGTACATATACAACCAGAACTAAGAAAACCTTGATTAGAAGCATCTGAAACATGTAGAAAAGGGGAAAAAGACACCCCAAAGAAAATACAAAGAGAACTACACAAAAGTTAAGGAGAAGGAGAAGACAACGAAATGCAACTTAAGTGGCTAATAGGTCATTGGTTCGAGTTCTTGAGGAGGGAAAATGAGAACACTAAGAGAAACTAAACTCAACTAAAGGCATGTGACAATAGCCCATAACCAAAAAGATCCGGGAGAGACAGAGTAGTTGTGGAGTAGAATGTGAACACTATTGGTTATTTATTTTTTTTAAAAAAAAGGAGAGAAACTAAACTCAACTAAAGGCATGTCACAATAGCCCATAACCAAAAACATCGGCGAGAGAGTGTATGGAGAATAGAAGTGGGAAAACTATTGAAAAAAAAAAAAAGAAACTAAACTCAATTAAGAAAATGTCACAATAGCCCTTAACCAAAAAGGTTGGGAAGAAATAGCAAATACAAATTGTGCAATTCAAAAAAGTGTGTGAAATTAACCAAATGAAGTTCCTGAATTTAGGAAGAGCTTATTTATACAAATAAGAAACATCTCATATGCCGTTAGTGTAGCAGAAGCCATTACCAATAATGTCTCCATATATCGACTTGTAATCAATCTCCACCACCTCAAATCACAGTACCTCAACTCAAATCGAAATTCCCAAAATTGCTAAGCCCAACCTAAACCACGCCGCAGAACACGCCCGCGTCCTCGAGCAGAAGCTAATCTCGCTCACACAATCATGTAAAACCCGGGAAAACCTCCTCCAGATCCACTCCCACATAATCACCACCGCCGCCGGCCGCCGCACCCACCTCCTCACCTCCCATTTCCTCTCCGCCTGCTCTCGCCTGGGCCTGACAACCCACGCCCGTCAGGTGTTCGACCAATTGTCCGACCGGCACCACACCTCCCTGTGGAATGTGCTCTCCAAAGGATACCTCTACAACAACTCGCACCATGACGTCATACTCCTGTTTGCTGACATGATGCGGGAAAATGTGAACCCCAACTGCTACACCCTGCCCGTCGTGCTCAAGTCCTGCTCCAAGCGGCCTGGAATCAAAGAAGGCGAACAGGTTCATTGTTTGGCTGTCAAGAACGGTTTCAAGTCGAATACTTATGTAGGGACTAATCTGATCGAGTTCTATTCCTCTGCGGGCCACGTGGGACTTGCGTACCAAGTATTTAAGGAAATGGTAATAAGGAACGTTGTTTCTTGGACAGCAATGATAAACGGCTACTTAGCCAACAGAGACTTGGTCTCTGCAAGGAGGCTCTTTGACCTGTCGCCCGAGCGTGATATCATTCTCTGGAATAGAATGATTACGGGCTATACAGAATCCGGTGACATGGCGGAGGCCAGGAGGCTATTCGACTCGATGCCGGGCAAAGATTTGATGTCCTTCAACACTTTGCTTCACGGGTATGCAAATAACGGTTACCTGGAGGAATGCGAGGTTCTGTTTGAGTCCATACGCGAGAAAAATATATTTTCTTGGAACGGATTAATCGCGGGTTACGCGCGGAACGCGCGTTTTCTCGAGGTTATTCGCACTTTCGAGAGGATGCTCGGAGAAAACGACGTGAAGCCCAACGACGCCACGTTGGTTCACGTGCTGGCCGCTTGCTCGAAATTAGGAGCTCTCGATTTCGGAAAGTGGGTGCACGCGTATTCCGAGGAAAATGGGTATGGAAAGAATTTATACGTCTGCAATGGGTTGGCCGACATGTACGCCAAGTGCGGATTGGTCGAACGAGCGATTCGTGTTTTCCGTGGAATGAATAAAAGGGATTTGATATCTTGGAACACGATCATTAATGCCTTAGCCGTGCACGGCCATGGTTCGTATGCTCTCGAGTTCTTTGACGAGATGAAAAAAAGTGGAGAGAGACCCGACGGCATAACTTTTATCGGCATAATTTCCGCGTGTTCTCATTTGGGTTTGGTGAAAACGGGCTTAAGCTATTTTCGTTCGATGAGTGACGACGTGTACTCGATCGAGCCCAAAATCGAGCACTACGGATGCGTCGTCGACCTCTTGGCCCGAAACGGTCTCGTGGAGGAGGCTATGGATTTCGTGCACGAGATGCCTCTGAAAGCGGATGGGGTTATATGGACGGCTATCTTAGCTTCCGCGCGGATTCACAAGAAAATCGAGTTTGCTGAGGTGGCGCTGAGGAGGCTCATGGAGCTTGATCCAAAGAATCCCGCGAACTACGTGATGCTGTCGAACGTTTATGGGGAGGCTCGGAAGTGGGATGGGCTGGCCCGGTTGAAGGTTGCGGTTCGGGATATGGGGTCGAGAAAGGTGCCTGGCGTGAGCTCGATTGAATTGGACGGTGAGATTCACGAATTTTACGCGTTTGATGAGAGGCATGCGGAGTCGGAGGGAATTTATCGTGTTTTGAAGGGATTGACTGAGATGTTGAGGTTGTGTGAATGTGATGGTGTAGGTGAAGTGAAGCTTGGACATGAAATGTGGAGTGGTTAAACATAAGTAGCTGTGAGATTTTGTTTTGAAGGTTGCTTGTGATTATTTAGAGATGACCACTCAAGCAAACACACGGCCCACACACAGATCTACACATACAGAGCCGAAGATTGATCAATGAAGTGCAAAAAAAGATGCATGTTTTTAACCTCTGGAGTCGCTCCTGGTGTGGTTCCTTGTATTTTGTATTCCTTTCATTTACGACTTCATGATTTTGATATCTGTACTTCTGTGTGACACCTTAACTGCGAAGTTTCAATTTCACACTTCTTGGAAACGTTCATAAGTCATGTGAATACTAGTACAAACACCCATTTATTACACGGGTGCTTGCTATTTTTTTTTTCTTAAAATTTAAAATTAATGAGAACAAGTGGTTGCAAATTTAAATATTTTTTATAAAAATATATATATATATATATATATTATATTTTAGTATGACACTTATTACTTGTGCGACTTACCTGTGTTATATTATAATAATTTTTAACTTATAACATAACTACATTAAACGTTAAATATATTAATTAAGAAATAATTTTAATTAATTTTAATAAATAATTTTATTATTATTATAAAGATAAATCTAATTTATTTATTTTATATATAATATATATAATAATTATTTTATATAGACAGATCCTTACACCAGCTCCTTCAAACTATTTCTTCAAAGTTCTAAATTATTAGTTGAATTTACTGAAACAAAGTAATTTTCATAATTTTAATGATTATTAGTACTAAAAAAGATGATGATTATATAAACATATATTTATAATAAAATGTTGATATTACATCCGTAGCTGAAACACACATCATGCTAAATTAACCCCATCAACTCATATACATGATTTGATTGATTTTAATAATAAGCGAATAATATTTTTTGTAAATTTAATGGTTGCACAATATAAAAGAATCTACAATTATATATACGTGTGTATATCTAAATATATTAATTTTATTTTTACTTATGTGTGTATATCTAAATATATTAATTTTATCTAAATATATGTGTGAATATCTAAATATATTAATTAAGAAAGAATTTTAATTAATTTTAACAAATAATTTTATTTTTATTATAAAGATAAATCTAATTTATTTATTTTATATATACAATATAGATGCCAAATCGAAATTCATAAAAAAATGATTAATTTGATATATTATATATGTAAAAGCGATAAGAAATACGAAAGTTATCAACTTTTAAAATACGTTCGCAATTCAATGGTTACTAGTACAATACCCGTGTAAATACACGGGTGTTGAATTAGGAAGCATATGTAAAAAATATTAATTTTTTTAAACTAAAATAATTTAATTTTAGATATAACATTATTTTGGGTTTTATTGTTAAATTATATTTTTTTAATTATAATAATTAAACACCCGTATATTAAATAAAAATGTCGACTCATATTGAATTTTTTTACTTATATCGTATAAAATTATCGATATTATTTACTATTATTAAGTAAAAAATATATATCTTAAATAAATAAAAATAATATGGTGATATGTATATGTATAAGTGTAGAAATATGTTTGTTTAATATTAAGCAAAATAGATTAATTTTTTACTTAATTAGATTTCAAGTACATCAAGTGCAGTATCCGCTGTGCTTCACAGTTTTCTAACTTTATATTTGATTTTAGAATTTAGATAAATAATTATTTATTTTTATTAAAAGAAAAAATATTTATAATAACTAATGAATGAATTAAATAAGAAAATGAAATATAATGTATGATAATATAGGAAAAAGAAATATAAAATAATTTATGGTAACTAATTGTAGAAGTAAAGAAGGAAAAAATCAATCATGGATTTAGTGTGATAAAAAATATTAATTTATATCCAAGCCTAACTCCAAAACATGATTTTTTGTCAAATAAGATTTTGAAGCGTGAGAGTTTGCCATGTAGGTTCAACTTATTCTGAAATTATATATGGAGGGATAATAGGAAATGATATTAAAATACAATTAATACATCTAAAATGATCATAAATAAATCAACATATTTATGGTAATCCGGACCTAATTATTTTTGGATTGGAATTAAATTAACATCTATCCAAACCAAATAATGAAGCATGGAATTTTGACACCTAGTATCCCGAAGCATGCGAGCCTACCACTTAGGCTCAACACACCTGTTAATTATATAGGGGATATTTCACCATGGAGACAAATCTATATATATAGACAATTGCTGGCAGAGCAATTAAAGACAATCAGCAAGCAATTAATAAAAATATTTATGATTTTCTTTCAAACCGTTACATTGCATTTTCTTTATTTTTCTATGTTTTAATCTTATCTAGCAATCAATTATCTATTTTTGCTTAATTTTGTGGTATGTAACGGATCTCTATTTTTTTTAAAAAAATCTTCACACACATGTAGTGTTTTCTGAATTTGGTTGTACGTAATTATTGAATAGTGGCGAGATAATGTTTAAATCATTAAGTTTGAATGATTATAATATCTTTTTAATTTGTATGTTGATTACTCACATGTAAAGATACAGTCCAAAATATTAAAAACGAAAAAAAAATCATTTAGAATACAGATCCTTACACCAGCTCCTTCAAACATTTCTTCAAAATTCTAAATTATTAGTTGAATTTACTGAAACAAATAATTTTCATAATTTTAATGATTATTAGTACTAAAAAAGACGATGATTATATAAACATATATTTATAATAAAATGTTGATATTACACCCTTAGCTGAAACACAAATCATGTTTAATTAATCCCTATACATCAGCTCATATACATGATTTGATTGATTTTTAATAATAAGATTTTTTTTTTGTAAATTTAATGGTTGCACAATATAAAAGAATCTAAAATTATATATATGTGTGAATATCTAAAAAAATAAGAAAAATTAACGTTGATATCTTATTTTAATAAAATTAATACTTAAATGTCTGCCCATTATATATGGCGTGATTGTGTCGTTCTGAGAGGGACATGGAATATGAGGCTCAGAACTCTTGGTGGGGGTGATGAGTACGTTGATGAGTTGTGACGCTTCTCGGAGTGGCTTGCAAGCATTGGCGAGGATACAGTCGGTGTATCGAACGACGGTTGTATCGATATCGACATTTCCGACGATATTCTTCCAAAATCACAAGGCGGTCATGCTGTTACTTTTTGTTGAGAGTACCTACCCGATGTTCAGGAGTTTAAGCGACGATCTGAGTTATCTAAAGGATAGAGCCATCCTCACTTCAACAACTGATGTCATTGAGTCAGACGCTGGATATGACTCTCTTCAAGATCTTCATACTCCTGAATTTCTCAACGGGATTAAGTGTTAGGGACTTTTGATCATAAATTGCACATGAAGGTCGACACTCCATTGATGCGGCTCAGAAATATTGATCACTCCATGGGGTTGTGCAACGGTACACATTTGGTTATTACGAGCTCAACATCCATGTCCTCAAATGCAGAATTTTAATCAGTAGCAAAACTGGTGATAAGGTTCTTATTCCTAGGCTCACAATCATATCATCTGATTTGAGGGTATCGTTGAAGTTTCAGCATAGACAATTTCCTCTCATGGTTTCATATGCTATGAGAATCAATAAGAGTCTAGACCAGTCTCTATCACACGTCGGCTTACTACTGAAGAGCCTTGTATTCAGTCGAGGGCAATTGTACGTGGATCTTTCCAGAGTCACGAGTTGGAGGGATTTGAAGATATGATTTGTAGTGATAAGGATATTGACGATAAGAAAACCACGAATGTTTTATATGAAGAAGTGTTTAATAATATTTAGATTAGTTTCTTAATTTTTTTCTCTCATTGATTAAGATATGATTTTTATTTTTGTCTATATTTTTCATTACTTTCTTTTCTATTGTATCACTTTCCGTACAAATGCACGGGTTAAAACTAGTTTCATAGATAAAGCGGGTGATATTAATTTTACACACTTATAAAATATTATATTCTAAAAAATTATCTCCAAGTTATTAATTTTAAAATTATTATTATACTGTCTTTATCTCATTAAGCGGTTTATTTAAATTATTAATTGGTTTTGATGTTATTGCAAACCCCTTAAAATTGCGTAAACAATTGCTATAATAATAATTTAGTACATGTTTCAGCTAATTAATTGACCACGATTCATTAATTTTGTTAACATTGTATTATTCATTACATTTTATGAAATTTATATATTAATTTATACATAGCTAAAATTTTTTGTAACAATATTTTTTACTATTACAATGATCAAAACTTTAAAATGTAATATGCTCATTTTATAAGTTTGGATTTACAAAAAAGATATATCAATACGATATAACTTGTCATATTTTATATGTGTATGTACATGTGCTGAATATTAAATATTAGTACTATGTACCACAAATATTGCGGAAATGAACTAAAAATATATCAATTAAATTGCTTCAAGTTGCTTAAAGAGAAATTCTTCGAGAATTTGACCTTATCATGTGGAAATGAGCTAAAAATGCATCTATTGAATTTATCTTAAGTATTTCGGCATGTATTTCATCTATATAGGGATAGATTAGATTCTGGTGAGAATGATTTTCAATGAAAGAAACAAGAATACATCATAGTCATTAGATCAAATAACCCAACTGTAAAACAACCGACCAATATTTTGCACATATTAAGGACGAGGTAGACATTTTCCCCCACCCACCCCACTGCTCGTGGGACCCATCCCACAACTAAACGTCCCCACTATCTCTCTCCTATATTTCTCTCTCTGTCACACACACACACAACAAAATTCCTGTCGCTGCTAAACCCTTTCATCTCTACTGCCGTTGTGGCTGCCGCCGACGTCGAGCCTCCATCACCACCTACCCCCTCCCCACCCCCACCCCTACCGCCGCCATCCACTTCCACGAGTCTCCCCGTCCCCCCATTCGACAGCCCTCCAATAGACCAAACCCTAGCTTTTATAGGGACGTGTTAGTGTTTTTTGTAAGGGAACTCTATGTCAGACTCTATATCGGTGGTTGTAGTTCAAATGAAAGGCCCTGGAGTCTCTAATTGAGTTCTTGCAGGAAGACGAAAAGTCTCGCCTCCACCAACAATGATTTTTCCCGTTACGCCCTGGAGTTCAAGCAGAAGGCTTTGGGTCCTCTATCTCAAACAAGGCAAAGGAAAAGGCAGCCATGGCCGTCGAGTTTCTCGCCATGTAGGCTGCTGCCCGAAAGGGGTTCTCCGACGAGATATTTGCAATTCAATTCGAGATAAGTTTTACGAACTTTGTTTTGAAAAATAGATAAGTTTCAGACATTTTAGTTATATTGCAATTTAGTTTACGAGTCAAATATGTAATTTAATATAAGTTAATAATCGCACAATGTCAAGTTTGGATATGCACAATAGTGTTAGACTAGACGCACATTAATGCATGCGAGAGTGCACATTAGCGTAACAGTGAATTCTGTGCAATGACTAAAATACCACCACTTGAAAAATCAAAGTCCACATATTTATAAGAATTCCACCGCTCCTTTGACCAAATCCGGACCTTTTGATTGTGCCTGAAGCATTGATATATCATCCGACCGTTACAATCCATTCTGATTTTTTTCACTATGACACATTCTCATATGATTCCACTTATATAAATAGTGTTTTCCCGCAAAATTAATATTTTGTTCTTAAATAAAGAAATTTTTTAATATTTTTTTAATAAATAAAAAAGAAATCACTACATTTTTTATTTGTTTTTGGTAATTTCTCTTTACCATCATGGTGAGGCTTTTATATTTACTTTAGGTAATATAATATCAATAATTGATCTAAATCTATTGATTAAATTTTTAAAATCTTTCAACCATTTTTTTTATATCTACCTAATTTGTATTTATTTTTATTTTTAGTGATGTGATATCAATAACTCGAGAAATAGTTATTTTTATAATCATAATGATATTTAAAGATTATAAAAATTGAATTACAAAAAATTGTTTAACAATATACAATAATTATTATAACCAATTTATATATATAATTTTATTGAATTTTAATTGAATATGCAAAATGAGTATATAATTATCTTTAATGCACTTTCTTCATTACAATATCATACATATTGAATAACTTATGAATAACATGCTATAAAAATATTAATAAATATGCATACTATCCCTGCTCGATTTGGACTCAGATTAGTATCAACTCATCGTTTCAATTACTTTTTAATCAATTGATTAATTTTGAACTTCAAAAAGTATCACAATAAGTATTTTATAAATATATATAAGTAAGGAAAAAGTTAATTTGCCTTTAGTTATATATTTGGAGTCATAATATATTTCCATGTTATAAATATTTACTATATAAATCACAAATTATTTTTTAGTTCATAAAATTAATTTTTTAGGAAAAAAAAAACATATTTGGATCAACCGGACTAAGTAAATTAGGTTCTTGCAAATATTAATTGGACTAATTTCAAATCATTTATAAAATCGTCCAAAAACAACAATATGTAAACATTAAAATATCAATTGTCGGGAATTCTCAATTCAATTAACACCGTACACTATCCAACTTAATTTTTATGTCAATCACCGTGAAAAAATTTTAATTTTTTTGCAAAGATACAATGTTTCTCGTCTTCTTTGGAGAAGAAGATGAACAGACAATATAGAAAAAATCAACTAACAAAAAACATGTTAAATGTGCGTGGGAAAAATCAACTAATAAAAACTTCTTAAATGTGCGAAAAAAATAGGGCAAAATTTTCTTGCTCAACCCAATAACAAACAGAAAAAGGTTCCAAATTGTCAATTTCTTAAAAATCATCCAACTAATTGAAGGAAATCAAACACATCCCATTTAAAAAAAAATAAAAATGGTAAAATTGAGCATCAAATTACCAGCAGAAAACCGTTCTCCTTGGACTGCAAATGGCCAACTCCATGGAGGGATCAGTCGTTGTAGTCTTGAGCATTCGCCACCAATAATCGGCCAGTTGGAATCGTTGTGTGAGGAGTATGGACAACCAATTCTGTGACTCATACGGTTTTGTAGAGGTTCGACGAAAAAATTTTCTGGTGGTGGCAGCGTTATCCGGCGGCTGAAAGAAGAATAAGAGAAGTTTATAATGAATTATATGGACGAGTTTTTGAAGATTGGGGTAAAAATAACCGCCTACCTGTATTGTCCAGTTATGGGGTGAAATTGGAATGAAAAAGCCTATATTTGACGTAACTGATTAGTAGTTTTATTTATGTAAACAATACTTTTGAAGAGAAATCGGGTGTCTTTGTTTCTAAATGAATTAGGATAAAGCCCGTTAAACTTGTCATTTAGTCCAGGATATCGGCCTGTAAGGTGAGCTCTTGTAACTTGTAAGTTCGTTGGCCCATTAACATGTGTCATATTTTGAACTTTTAGGAACTTTCTCTCCCTCGTTCCCAACTTTAATACATTATACATATTGAGTTCTAAAATTATAATATGCATATCCTACATAAATATTTGATACCCTATTAAATGTACAACAAAGTATGAAAGAAAAAATGTTAATATATTGTTGAAGTTGAAAAAATAAATAAAGAACAATATATAACAATTTATAATAAAACATTAAGTGAATTAACAATGTTATTTTAAATTCCGAATACTGATTTATATACATAATTAGTTTTATTTATAAATTTTTATTTAAAACATAAGAGAATAATATGAACAAAACGAAAAAAAGTGAGATAATATGAACATTATAGAAAGAAGATAATGAATAAATTTATATCGAATAGTTTAAGTATATTAAATATGTGTATTTATGACAATTCAAACCTAAAATATTTGGTATAAAAAAAGTAGTAATATTTATCCGAGTCATATTAGTTTATGGAAAACATAAATGTGAAAACAGGGGGTTAAGTTTATAAAAAAATCTCTAATTCTATTTTTTTTTTTTCTTAGTTTCTAGACAATTTTTTTCATAGTCTACTCCCTAGTCAATGAATAAGGCCAAAATAGTTGGTCCCCTCCAAAGTTGAAAACATGTTTTTGTCCCGATACTATATGATGGATAAAGAGTACATGTATTCGTTCAAAGAAGTATTTGTTTCTTCTAAAATTGCCTAAAATTGTTAAATTCCGTGTCATACTTGATTTCTTTGCATTAGTACTGGAATTATTCTGTGAGTACCAGCTCGCTTAAGATGATATAAGGGACTGTTTTATTCAAGGTTGTCAAAACCGACAGAGAACCGGCCTAGACACTGGTCCGGTTTGCTGTTAGGAACCGTATTTCTCCTAGACACTGGTCCAGTTTGCTGTTAGGAACCGTATTTCTCCAAAACCAGCTAATGAACGGTTGAACTGGTTCGAAACCGGCATAACCGTTGAATCGGAAGCGGTCCGAGCGGTCTATCGGTCTGGACTGTAGGCTTGTGACTGTGTACAGAATCCTTTATGTAATCAATTAAATACTTGAATTGCTTCGCTTTCTTTTTCGATGTGGGATGTCCCCATTTATACTTGCTGAAATTGGGCCATAGTGGGCCTTATATGCAAGTAAATTGTAAGAATATTGGTTTGGCATCATCCAAAAAACCTAAGTGTTTTCTAGAAGATTTTCTTGTTAGGCAAGCAAAATAAAATAAAAGGAAGTTTTCTATTTATTTACTTGTTAATTAATTAAGTTCCTATTATTTATTATTAATAATATATGTTATATATTTATTATAATGTGTATTATGGAATCCTAAACCTTTAGGAGAAGGATTACATAATATTTATCTTATATATGTACTTACCATATATGCCACATGCATTAATGAGCTTGATTCTATGCCATAATTAGTTTTCTCTCTCTTGTAGGACAAGGAATAGGTGGCAAAGACTATGAAAGGATGAGCAATTCGTGTATAAGGAATTCTGAACGTTATCTAGAAGATCTAATGAGGATTTGGAAAGATTCACCACAAGATCTTTGAAGATTTGGAAGATCGGCTATTTTAGGAAAGTTGTGTTCTTACACGAGTCTGGAACCACGAAGATTTCCATTGGCAACTCAATTCTGAAGATCTCCAAATCACATACAATCAAGGAAGATTTACTTTCCATGTTACTACACTATTTTTGGGAAGAAGATCAAAGGAGATCGTGAAAGAAGGAAAGAACTTGGAGAAGACTCCAAGCCTAAGGAGTTGTATATATACCCTACTTGAAAATCGAATCAAGGCTGCTGAAATCATTATCTTCCATTCAATATTCGAGCTTCAAGCCTTTTAGGTTTTATTTTCGTTGTTCAGTTTTTGGTGTTCTTACGACATCGAAGAACTGAAATCTTTTGTTTTGATTCTTTTGTTTTTCATTCAAACACTTGTGTGATCAGTACTTAGGGATTAAGTACTGTCTTTAGCTCGAGGGATTCGAGAGGTAAAATCCACGGGGCGTGGTCGGAGAAGTAGTTGATAGAATCGTGTGTAGTTGTGGCTAGGCTAGAAGGGAGTTCGAGTCGTGTAAGTCCAAACTATACAAGTGTGCACAAATTGTTTATCAATGAAAGAGCTCTGAGGGGAAGTGGGACGCTTCCCTGAAGAGTTTTTAAATCTTCGGTTTATTGCTTCCGCTATTCTAGTTGTTTATTTGTGTTCTAACAACGTTGAGCGCACTCGTCGTAAAATACCTACGTTTCAATTGGCACCAGAGAAGTGTTCCTGTTCTACTTACAAGATAAAGATCTTTGGGTCCTTGGGTTGGTCACCATGATTCACGACGGCATGTCCGTTTCGCGCCCTCCGTACCTTGACGGTTCTAACTATGGATACTGGAAATCCATGATGGTGATATTTATTCGCTCTTTGGGTAAAGGAACCTGGCAAGTCATTGAGTCAGGCTGGACCACACCACTCATGCCGAAAGCTCCCTTAGAATCAAAGTCATCAACCTCGACTGCTCATGTTCTAGTCGAGAAACCAAGGAATCTTTGGACTGATGTTGAAAGACAAGCAGAAGAAGCAAACTTTCGTGCATTATATGCTATCATGGCTGCTGTGGATCCAACTCGCCATAAGATGATTATTCAGTGCACCACAGCTCGTGACGCATGGAAGATTCTTGAGAGACAATTTGAGGGTACCAACGCCGTGAAGTCTTCCAAGCTCCAAATGATTACCACGGAGTTCGACACTATTCGCATGAAGGATGATGAAAATATTGATAGGTACTATGCACGTTTTTGTGATCTCGTTAACCAAAGTGCCATGCTTGGTGAGGAAATTTCTGAGGCGAGGCAAGTGCAAAAGATCATGAGGACCCTTGCCAAACGATTCCGTGAAAAGATCACCGCACTTGAGAGCTTTCAGCGAGTCGAGCCTCTTGGTCTCGATGACTTACTTGGAGAACTTCGAACTTTTGAAATCAATCGTGGTTATGATAAGATGGGAATAAGCAAAGGCTTAGCCCTGAAAGCCAATGTTCCAACACAGGCTGAAGACGAAGAGGATTCTGATGATGAGTCTCTTGATGCTGAAAGTATTGCTAAGGCTTTGGATGTTCTTACACGCCACTTCTCTCAGTTAAAGAAGAAAAAGGAGTTCCAAGGGAAGAAGCCTACTGACTTCAGTAAGAACATCAATCAGCAGTCTGGTGAACGACGTTCCAACTCACATTCTCAGAAGACTCAGAATCAGGACGTAGAGAAGAACCAATGCCGTGAATGCAAGGGATTTGGACACTTCCAGAAAGACTGTCCGAATTTCACGAGGAAGAACAAAACCTATCGAGCCACGTGGGATGATGATGAAGACGATGATGACCAGCAACACACGAACAAATTTACCGTCACTTCTCTCAATAACTTCACGTGTTATACAGCCTCTCATAAGCCTTGTGATGCCGATTCAGGTATGTGTTCTTACACGTATAATTCTCATAGTGATTCTGATGATTCTGGAGATGGTTCTGTTGAAGTAGATTTGGCTACCCATAAGCTTGCATTAGAGACGAGCATCAAAGCTGGAAAAATGGTGAAAAAGCTACAAGCTCAAGTCGAGGTGTTCCAACATCGTTCTGCAGAGCATGAGAAGAAGATCACATACTTGAAGGATGAACTTCAGAAAACTCACATGATGAATGGCGAACTGAATGATAAGCTGACCAGATCTGATGTTCATACCAGCAAGGAGGAACATAAGCTGGACGAATTTGTTGCAAAAATCACGATGTTAGAACATGAACAGAAGTTGTCCAAGCAGGTATGTGATGAAAAGGTTTTTATCATTGAGTCTCTACGTAATGAAATGTTTGTCTTGCAGAAAACTATAGATGAAAGGGAAACCGAGATTGTTGCACTCAAAAGAGAACTCGGTTGAGTGATGGAAGAACATGTAACGCTCAAGAGTTATTGTTCTGCAATGGGAGAGAAACTCAGCAAGAGTGAGGAGATTGTCAAGATGATCAACAAGCCCAAGTCCTCATTTGCTGAAGTTCAGAGGCTGAGTCAACAAATTGGTACCTCAGACCAGAGTAAGAACGCTCCTAATCAGAAACTGAAAGGTAAAGTTGGCGAGCCGAGCACATCTCTGAGTAAGTCTGACCTGACTTTTGTCAAAGTAGGCTACAGCCTTGAAGGTAAGAATGGTAAGCCTAATTCTACCAAAACTCAGCATAAGAACTCTGGTAAGAACTTTGTGCCTGTTTGTCACTATTGTGGTATCCGTGGTCATATTCGCCCTAAGTGTTATAGGATGCATAATGATATTTATACTGGTCGAATTGATGAATGGAGTCCACATGGTGTTGTTAGTGTTATATACTGAAAGCTTGGCTTTGCATGTTATTACACATTTACCCTTTATGAATGAGAATCATGTTAGATTAAACAAGTTCTACGTTCTGTTGTTTTGCACTTAGATAGGGTGGGTCGTCATCGGGCGAACCGAAGATCACTCTATCAGTCACTTGCGAACAAGAATAGTTGTTCACAACCTAGATGGACATGAACACCCCATCCGAACGGTTGTAGTGTCAACTGTACAGTTTGTCTTGACTGAT